GCTGAGATCACCTGTGCTCCTAAGACCCCTGCGCTACCTGTACCAGTCTTGATGCAACCTCCCTCAGTTGTTCTTCAGACAGGACCCAATTTTCGGACAGGCTAGAACTAGCGGTGGTTCTGTATTCCATAAAATGGGTTCAGGAAATTCGCGTCGCGGCCTTTGCACCCCGGGGATGGGGAAAACCACAGTAAGCTTATTTAGCGAGGGGTTAACAGACTGATTGGGGAGACACCCAAAATGAGCGGGGTGCGTTTTATATAGGCGATGCTTCCCTCAAAAGTACAATGTAGCATATTATTTAATTGTTGGTTGATTCGACATGTTTCAGAGTTGCTATTTGGATCTAGAACCGTACTATAAAATGCTATTTATTTAAATCTGTTTCTGTGAAAATTATAAAATTATTTATTTGCTTCAGAATTGCTATGTTGGATCGTCCAGGTCTCATTGCAAATATTGCGCACGTAGCATTGTTTTCAGCGCCTCTTTTTTGCCCTTTCGCGACTGCTAAACTGCAATCTCATAAGATGGCTGGAGATCATTTTTTTTGCTCTTCGCATATGCCATAGTATAATGTTATAAACTTCTTATGACATGGCACACCTTTGTAGAGCACTTCAAAATTTACCTTTCATTTTTTTGTGAGCACTGATTTTCTTCAAATACGAAAACGACTTGGGGACAAACTTCCGTACAAATTCAATTTATGCACTACTCTTCACAAGTCTATAAGTGACAAGTTCGCTATCAGTAAGCAAAATAAGATCGCCTTGTGGTGAGACGTTCATACTTCGCATCGGCCGTTTCTCAGAAAGCATTACTTGTTCCTTGTTGAAACATCGTATATCAGAATCTGGGTACCGTCAGCGATGACAAGCATCTCCTCGTCGACTTTGCACTGATCAAGGGCGCCAATCGGCAAAGTGTCGACGAATGAGCCGTCGTTGAGGAGCAAGGTCGTCGATTCAGGATCTCCACACAGAGCAATGAATGGTGAAAGATAGAGAATCGATTGGACCGCTTGTGGTTCGCTGACTACGGTCTTCGGACGAAGATCTGGCAACGAAACTATCCATAAGCCACCTGTCTCACTGGCTATGCACGCGTCGGCACCTGACCTGAAATTAGGGCAGGTTGATAGGATTCAGATCTGTGGATGAGCTCTGCTGCGCTATCCGCATTCGACCCGGGTTAAGTGTTGTGGTTGTCTCCGAATACATGTCTATACAGTGATGATTCCTGCAAACGATAGGCCGTATGAAGTGGCGCGGATTAGAGCGCGGCCAGGACGGCCTCTTCCCACCATCGATACCATCCTGAACCAGCCACAGTTGGTGGAAAATATACTCTGGCTGTGCTCCAAGCCACGCGCCGAGACCTGCCAAGTTCTTAGCAGGGGCTCATGACCTATATACCTTTTTTATTTTCAAAAAAGACACTTTCAAACTGGGTCGAACACTTTTGGAATCAAATCGCGCATATTTCTTGCACCGAGCACTTGACAACTAGACCACACTAGGTACTGCTGCAAGCTTCATCCCAACCAGGGTACAGCATCGTGATGTGTGAAATGGTCATGGCCAGTACGACCCCTCCCTCACCTAAATCACAGTCTCGAGTACGACCCCCCCCTCCCAGCAATCCCTTACCAATTTCCACATTTCTAGTTTTTCACTCAAGATTTTCCGTCGACGGGGTATTACCAGTGTGAAACGGGAAAATTTTCCATAGATCCCCAACAGGGGAAGAGGGGTTCTACCCACATGAAACAAGAAAAATCACGTGAAAGTCAACAACTGAGAAATTTTTCCCCCTCTCTCAAAGGCCATATACGACCCTCTCTCCCAACAACAACCAAATACGACCCCCCCTCCCTATGGTGTTTCACACAACGATGCTGGCAGAATTTTAATTTTTTTCTTCAAAATTTTCGCCTTTCAATGACCTGATGTCCGCATTTAATAACCGCAACACCCTCGTCACTCATATTTGAGCAGCAGAAGTGATACAACTTATGAGTAAGAACAGGAGAGTATGTATAGGGAAGAGATTCCAAATTTCAGGTTATCACACACGTGTGCTCTGACCTTTTGTTTTTTGGTGGGATTCAGAAAAATGAGGCGTTCCTCTTTTTCTTCCCGGCGTCTTTCTTCTACTGGTGCAGCCCACCATAGGCCTTCATGGTTCTCGAGAATGGTTTGGTTATAACAGTCTCATCGTAGAACGCTTTCGAGTTAGAAAGGAGCAGTGAAGGGGAAAGGCTCACTCTCTCCAGCTCAATATAAAAGTGGAATATCCTGAGCGTGAACAAAGAACAATCACTCACCTACTCATGGCGACAATCGATAGCGACTTTGCTGATGACGATGATTTGCGAATTTTCCTTGGCAGATCAGTTACGGATAGTCGTAGCGACTGAAATTTCGAGAATTAACCTAGAAATTAGTGAGCTTATTATATTGAAATAAAGGTTCTGTATTGAAAAGCACGCCCTCCCTTCCTCCTGCCCCTCGAGAATATAAATGGATGGTGGTATTCAAATAGTGATGACAAAACCAGCAACTATTTATCGCCACCACGCTCAAGGCAGGGTTCATAGGCACTCCTCCTCCAGCGCCAACATGCGGACTGCAAATGCGTGCAAGATCAGCGGCTATTTCAGTGGGTTGAGCGCTCGGAAACTATACAAAAGATTGCTGAAAATCCATTGTATTCTTCATAGAACTTTGCTTTGAATTGCCTACATACCTTATCAACTTCCAGAGAAGTTCCCTTCAGTTGCAAAACAGCTATGTGGCCATCGGTTCCGCATGATACTAGTTGTGAATGCGATATCCAGTCGAGGGCGGAGACAGCTTGTGAGTGAACCTGAACGCGTCTTCAATATAAATTAGGTCAGTAACAAAACCATTTGTTGAGTATGAAGGGGCGGGGTCTCATGGGATGCGCCACATATTCGAAATTCCCATTCAGACTGGCCATTTGTTCTCCAAAACAAATTCCGTGCCATTAGCTGACCCCTTAGGGAAAGAAGATTGTGCAAAAACCAATCTATGGATTACTCTTTGCAAGCGGCGCACATTCCAAGTAGTCATTAAGTGCTGAAATTTTAATACTTACTTTTATCGTGCTAAGAACGGTGTTGTTGACGACAAGATGAACGTCTCCTGCGACGTCACCGACGGCGAGCATTCCTTGTGACGACCATGATGAAGCCGATGGGCACACAGCGAGGGGAATTGAGGTAAACTGCAATATGAATGAACTGAGTTTTCATTGGGAAAATCTATAAGAGCTTAATAAACACAAATGTTATTTGATTTCGCATAAAAGCAGTATACAGCCATTTATACCACCCGCGACGCGGCGAGAGCACATTTGCGAACAGATTCACGTGCGCGACATTCGCACCAGGATCTAATTGATTCAGTCTGTAAGAGCTCCACTATGTCGAGTCAGCGAGCTAACAATTCACGCGAGTCACCGCAACGTGAATGTAACGTACCACCCCCAATGGCAAAATATGCCAACATATCAGGATACCTCGAGCGCTTGTGCTTGTTATAGGGACATTCCGCACTCATAAGGATCACAGTCATGTTTGAAGTGGGGTAACGTAAGCCGTGATGATCAAGTTTGCACCAGTTTTACGTCTCAAAGTTATTAGATAAGGGCGCTAAAGAACCATGTTGCTCCAGTGGCTCCTCCTGCTCGCAAGAGTTCAGTGTTACACCAGGGTAATCTCTCAGAGCGCGGTCCGAGCCACTTATGTGAGCGTATTGAACTTGCCAAATGATTTCAGAGCTATGTATTATGAAAGTTCAGTAATCTCTGATTACAGGACTGCCTTACTTTGCTTCGCTGAGCGATTATCACTTTTCCAGCATGGGAACACCATGTGTCATGTTCTGATTCACCGACCAAAATCGCTGTCCGACCTGCAGAACCGCATGATATTGAAGATACTGGCAACGTTTCAGCAGACAACTGAAACCATCACTATTATTTCATTGATTTGCCTTACGGAACTGCATCTTTTTCAGCTCCTCCTTGTGCATAAAAGATATTAACCTAAACTGAGAGCTTGGTGGAGGTGCAGTAGTGGAAAACAGCGTCGCTTACCACC